CTGGCGGTTCAAACCCACCAGCCACTCCTCGGAAGGAAGGTTGGGCAATCCTACTATCCGTAGTGATACTGCCTCAAAAACCCAAGGAGGGGTCGCTATGAGTCGGGGCCGACTCGATGGCACATAACAACAACAACAACAACAAAGCCCTATTTTCAGATCTCAATTGTAAGACTATTGGACCCAGCATTTGAGAATAACTAAGACAAAGTTGGTTAAAGTTATTCAGAAGCCTCTGTTTCACCAAGGCCAGAGTAGAAATATTACCTCTACATGCTTTACTGAATGAAACCAAAAACCAAAGTCACTGCCAGAGAGTCAATTCTGACTCATAACGACTGTATTGGGTTCCAAGGCTGTACATCTTTACAGATGCAGACTGTCTCATCATTCTTCTGCTGAGCTGCTGGTGGGTTCGAATTATCAACTTTCTGGTTAGTAGACAAATCCTTTAATCTACATCTCCAGAGCTTCATTTACTAAGCAAAGCTAAACTAAAAAGCCTTGGGGGAAAAATAGAGAACTCCTATAATTCTTCTTGGAAAAGTTTCGCTTCTTCTTAGTCTTATGTGCCTCCTGGTTATCCTGAAAGACCTCAACAAACATGAACTCCCACAATTGACTTTTTCCCACTTCAAATGCTCTTCAATTTCCCTCTTCCTTCCTTAATGTAACATTCCAAGTCCACTCAAAGAATTTCAACAGTATCCCACCTAAGCAAGCCTCTGCCAGAGCCCTCATGTCTGATTATTCCTCTTGATCTCCTACCCTACCCTTCCTTTGCCACACTTCCTACTGCTGCTAATGCCATTCAACAAAGACATTTTTAAGGTAAAACCTTTGAAAATATAATTTAAAAATGTATAACCATCTTGTGAGGCCATGATTTACAATTAATGCTTATAATCATTCATCATTCAACTAACATTTATTTAGTACATAAATACTCAACAGCTAAGTTTTAGGACATGCACTGAGTACCTAATTTGGCATATGTATTACTGTGTGTGATTTTTAGAAAATCACAGATGGGAAAAACCTGAATTAATGAATTATAATACAAGGAAAATTATGGTGTAATGGAGACCATTTTCTGATACGAAAAGAAATGATTGTTGTTGTTGTTATATGCCGTCGAGTCAGCCCTGACTC